TACGACCCGGCGGTCAGCGGCCCAAGAACAATGGAAGCCCAACTCAAACAGTAACCGTGGTCTAGTTAAGCCTGAGTCAGATTCAATAACTACGGTTAATAAAACCTAGTATGTACCCTCAAAACCTTGTACTATAAATAGGAGAATAAGCTGATGTGACTAAGGATCTTCCATTCTCTGAGGGAACGTACAAAGGACCTAGAGCATAACCGTTCAGATCTCTAACTCCGACAGAGAACTCATCGGAAGGCCACCGCCGACTGGAAAACACCGCAAACACTCACATTACATACTAGCTCACAGCGAACAAGTAGCCCGGGATCTGTCCGGTCTACTACTCTCTTTCTAGTCTATAGTAATCAGGTAGACCGAGATCTGTCCGGACTATCTATAGCGGTCTTCTTTGTAACACTCATTTCGGGCTCAACTTCTAATACACGAAACCCTCCGACCTCCTATCTACTAAAAATTCATTGTTCGATCTTTGGGTTAAATAACTCTCAAGTCTCAACGTTACTAATATTTCGATTCATTGTTAAATAAAATATGATGCATAATTATTCTCCTTATTTATGCTTTTATTAGACTTTGTAGGTGTTTACTACACTATTAAATATGGTATAATATCCGTCGGCTACAAATATATTCGGGACTACCTCCTTTTTTTTTGCCACGGGACCACCTTCTTAGTTGTTGTTGGCATTCACAACTATAAAACCATATTATGGAGCTTAAATCCAAGTTTTGTATCAATAACACTAGTATAACCTCTAATTATAAGTTTCTATCAATCACTTAACTAATTGGTCGTTATTCACCAAATGCATGTATATAGTTACGTTAATTATATACCTAGTAGCTTTGGTCCCGTAGCATAGACATGTCACATGGTCCCTTTGATATAGTGAGAAGATTCAACTGCTCCGTTTGGGAGGGGTGACGGTCTTATTTAATTAATAGTAAGAATTTGGAAAACATTGGTCCTTTGAGAGAGAATTACATTAATTATTTCTGGAAGATATTACGTTAACTTATTTTACATTGGAATACGAAAACTACAAAATTTGTTTTTTTACCAAAAATTAAAGGAGAATCTTCGTGTGTAAATTATATAAACATGAAGGCATCATTTTAGTTTAAGAAATGAAATTAATACTTTTAAAATGAAAATTATTGGAATTGCAAAACAAACAATACAATACAAAAACCAACATTAATTAATAATCACACGACATTATACCCTTACTTCCTCGACCGGATTAAACTAATCAAAGAAATTATCATTTTCGTTTCAACGCAAAGAACAACATGACCTTCTCACGGTAGCTAGATTCAATCTTCTCGGTGAGTCCAACGAGTTTGGCCGTAAGACGGTCGAAGATGTCATCGAGGAGATGTTCACCGAAATGATTGTTGAAGAGCGATCCCATTGTGGCCTCTATGCATAGCATCCATTGCCTCACATCCTCCATGGTCATTTCCCGTTTGAGCCAGGCCGTGGGGTCCATGAGCTCCATCGATTCGACAGTGAAGGAGCCGTTTGTCTCAACCAAAATTCTTACCTCCTCAGGTGATGCCGAGTAGATCGGTATGTTGAAGGTATCGACTTGCTCTTCGCTGATCAAACCCTGCCAGTCTTCTAAACTCAACAAACCCATGATTTTAAATAAACTAGAGATACATGACGTTAAAGTGTCATTGCTATTTTTATATTTATATCAAATCCAGTTAAGAAAATTACAACAAACTAAACGTATTAGTTTTCATTATTAGGACGGTCTCAAACTACTATATTTGTGCAAATTTTGGTTAGATGAATATAGTTGATGTGTTATACTTTTGATTTTATAATTTAAGATCCCAATTTATTTACAATTTTCTCTAAGAAAATATTGTTTTTGAAACGAGTTGAGTGCTCTAGATTCACATGCTAAAAGGTGGTGCTGGTTGTTTCATCCAGAGCTGAAAGTTTTATGCAAAATAATCAAATCTTCATTAGTATGTTCTATTGAGTAATTCTAGTTATGTATCACTATGTTTACAATATCAAATAAATCTACTTGTTTGAGAATATTTTGTAGAGAATAAAATCGAATTTACCTGAAATTGCATTTGAATGAGAACATCAGCCATGGAAGTGTACATGATACTGTCGGAAAGATTGGAGAAAGACATTCCTTTAGGAATCCCACACATTCCAACAACCAAAAGACCACCACTCACTAGTTCTTTAGCCCTAGCTTCTAGAAACTTCTCCATGTCCCGACCAAACTGCTCTTTATAAGCCTTCACCACTTCCTCGGCCGCATTTGCGTAGTGAACCTTTCCTTTGTTCCACGCCTTAGAGCTTTTGTCCAATACCTCCTTCGGAACACTCGATAGCCAGTGTGTGGCCCCGACCGTCACTACAATATGAACGGATGATTCAGGAAGAACACGGCCATAGAACGAACCCGGGACACCGACCGCAAAATAACTTCGGTCTTGAGGGAGAGAGGTGAAGAGAGTGTTGAAGTCGTTTTGGGGGAGGTCGTTGAAGAAGACTAGGAATTCTGGTTGTTTGGTCTTTAGTGAGTTTGATTCTAAGGTGGTTTCAATGGATTTAATGATGTCGTCGACGAGAAAGAATGTGTTTGGTCCAGTTGCACAACCAAGATCGGCTATGCAGATTGTTGTGTTTGAATCGGATATTAGGGTTTTTGCATCGAGTTTCTCCATTATCAGTTTGTCTATTGCATCTTTCAACAAACTTGCTGCTCTTCTCTGTTCACACAGAAGCAGTAAGAGATTATTATAGTTGTTGATATAAATTAAGATGTGCTATTCCAATTGAAAACGATTAAAATTATCACAAC